AAACAGCAGCAAGCATCTCCCCTTTGTAGCTGCTATAATTTTTTTCATGCTTATTAAGGGAACGACTAATGCACGCGCAGATGTACTCGTTACCCTGATCGTCCAGCTGGCCTAAAACAGCACCAATCCCATGGTTAGAGAAATCGGTGTGCAGGATCAGCGGGCGGGTATAGTCTACACGGCGCAAAACAAGACCTTCCCTAGAAAAGACAGACTTGATGCTCGTGAAGGCCGCTTCCTGCTCAGGGCCCCAAACCCAGGGTTGATCTTTCTTCAACAAAAGGGTGAGGTTGGCAGTTAGCGAGCTCATGCTAGGTATGTAGCAACGATAGTAGTTTACAAAACCTAGGTAAGAACGAAGTTCGGACACGTTGCGAGGGGGCTTTAGGGCCATGATCGCAGCTATCTTTGCATGGTGCGGACTGATGCCTTCGGCGCTTAAATTGTGGCCTAGATACTCAATGACATCGGCACCAAAGATAGACTTATCAGGATGAGCCCTTAGACCACATGAATGCAACGTGTCTAGAACCGCGGCGACGTGCTTTAAGTGCTCTTCTGGAGTTGCACTATAGATTAGCACGTCGTCTATGTACGCACGAGAACAGCCATCTAGCCCTGCCTTAGCCAACTCGTAATCCATCACTCGTTGGAATTTTGCTGAGGCGTTCTTGAGGCCGTAAGGCATGCGTGTGTACATCATGAGCTTATTCCCAACCCAGTAGGCAGTTTTCGGTTGGTCTTCAGGCAAAATGGGAATTTGCAAGAATCCCTGCCGCAAATCTAACTTAGAAAATATGCGCGCATGTGCACACTGATGAAAAATGTCCTCCGGCCTATGCAACCCATAGCGATCAGCCCGAGTGTGCTTATTAACAGGCCGATAGTCCTGCGCCATGCGGTGGTCTGTCCATAAGCCCGTGTCTGGATCCTTTTTAGCGGCTATGACCGGGTTCACCGCACAGACAGTCGCGCCCTTATGCTCAACAACGATGCCCGCTTTGACGAGTTCCGAAGTTTTTCCCACTATGACCTCCTTTTCCATGGGGGAGTAACGTCTAGGGGGTTGCACTATAGGCCTGTCCGTATCTAGGTCTAAGGTGAAAGGACCCTGATCCCCACTATAGCCTGGTAATTGTTCCATGGAATAGGCAAAGGACAAGCTCTTCCGCGAGCGGACTATATTTTGTAGCGCTGCACTATCCTGAGGGTTTAGCAAGACACTATTGCCCCAGATCCACCCACCTTCCGGGTCCTTCTGGTAGCGGCTGTAACCGGCTGCTGATGAGACGCCTTCAGGAGTGAACGAGCCGACGCTGGATAAGGCAGAGGAAAACCCTAAAAAAGGGTGGAATGAAGAACTGGGACCCTCGGGAGAGCAGGGGTCGAAACCCACAGGCTGACGGGTCCTTGGAAAGATGGACGGTGCTCCCGGCTGATGCAAGATGACGCCACCAGTGGTGATTAAACTGGACGACGCCTGCACCATGTCACTGCCAGTCCACGATGCTTGCATGGCACCTGCTCCTGCGGCTAGAGTTAGCAACAGGGATGCAACGAGGGCAAAGGAAGCGAAGTGCCAGCCGCTACGTGGCTGTAATGCAGGATGGCCTAACAAAGACCTACGCCTATACAGTGGCTTCTTTCGCTTTCCTGTGCGAGCAGGAGGGTGGCGCGAAGAGGAAACAGGCATGGGTCGTGTAGCTAGGCATGCGTGATCTATTAAACCGTTGGCCGTGTACGAAAGAACGGCACCAGCCGCCGTGAGAACGGGGCTAACAAAACACACGTTGAATGCGTCCCCAAAGAAAGTGGCATACGTGAGTAGCAAAAGGAAAATGGAACCAAGCTGATTCGCACCAACTGATAACCGGGACGCGAAGTTGCCCCAGTGATCTCGCCTAGTGTTGTTGACGTAGGCGGTTGACGTGCCCTGCTCAGAGGAATGAGAGGACTGGTGCGGAATAGGAGGGACGTCAGCGGTGGATTCCCCCCCCCCCAGCTCGGAGCCGGGAGGAGAGGTGCTGGGAATGGCCATGCTGACGCACGCAACTCCCACAAGTGAACCATGCTGAGAAGGCTTGTGCTTCACAAGCTTGCGCATGGGAATGGTGACTTTGTAGTCGGGGTACTGCAAAAAGTTGGGATGAAAGTGCAGCCTAGGCTCTGGATATGATTCCAGAGCGTCCCCTAAGAATTTCGCCTGTTCGTTACCCACTAGGAGCTGAAACAGGTCGGGTCGTTCGTCAACAACCAGGGTTTTAGTGAGCGGGACCCGCGTGGCATGCAGCGTGCCCGGAAGAAGCTCAAAAAAGATGTTTGAGGTGTCCAACTCTCCTCGCACAGCACCCCCTAGCTGCAACGAGGTGGACAGCCGCGTGGTTGTCTCGACTATGGGCAGGTTAAGTGCTTTGGCTATACTGGTCGGCATTACGTTGACCGTTGCGGCAAAATCACGCAACGCCTCCGGAGCTGCCCTGTCGCGCTGCCCCTGAACCAACACACACGCCCCCTTTTCATAGTAATACAGACCCTCGGGTTCCCCCATGTAACGCGCTGCCGACGGATTAACCGCTAAAGCCTGCTCCCGCTCGTCAGGCGAGAGCTCCGACAAAGTGCGCGGAGGTGGACCCTTAACCCCACTTACCTGGTACTCAAAACCGGCACCACGGTGGTCGGAGGGTTTGGCGCGCCCTTGGGCCGCCAGGGCAAAAGACGCCAGGCCAGAATCAAGGGGAGGTGGCGTGACCAGCTCCGGTGCTGCCGCCGGGAAACAGGCGAGCTGCACACTCTTGTCGGCCGGAGGCGTGGAAGATCCCTCCCCGAAGCTGCTCGAAACTGAGCTGGAACCCTGCGTTGCTTGGGCCGTACTTGGGGGATGGGGTTTAGCATCTAAGGGGCCGCCGGTGGAAGGCAGCCCCTGCTGACAAAGCAGGTTGAAGAAAGTGCCGACAGGCATGTCGGAGATTTTACGCAAGAGAATATTGTCATCTAGCGGTGTGTGAGTGCGTTTTGAGTTGTTCGCTACAGGTGGTGTCGGTGGCGGGTACTGCTTCGTGACTAAAGGGGCAGGAGTAAAGGACTTAGGAACAGCCTGCGAATGCATAGTGGCTAAGCTGTTGTACCTTACCTCTTGTGCGCTGCGCGTCCATGTGAGCGGCGCCATCCTGGCCTGCTGGCTGGGAGAGACGTTCGACGCCGCTTCATGGAACTGCGTCGTGCAGCAGGCCGCCTCCTCATCCCCCTCGTCCTCTGCTGCGAAGTCGTCCTCGAAAGCTGCGGCAACAGCCGCCGCCAAGGCCGCCTTCTTTTCAACCGCCTTCTTGCGCTGCAGAAATAAAACCTTCAGGGCTGGGTTAGCGGGCTCGTAGCCCGCGGGAGCGAGCTCGGGGTGGAAAATGAAGCACTTGCTCTGCTGGTGACCCATGGTTCCGCAGAACTCGCAAGATG